TGTGTGTGTGTGTGTGTGTGTGTGTGTGTGTGTGTGTGTGTGTGTATACATGTTTTGGCTAATGTGAAACGTTTTTCACCTTTCTGCAGTCACAGATGCGGGCCCTAGAGTTCGATCCCCAGACCTCACTTTGCCCATGTACAGTATCGAGTCGACCCCCCGAGTGTTTGAACCCGTGACCTGTGCTTTGGTAGTTGTTTGTCGGCTGTTGTAGGCCTGTGTAGTGGTAGGGGTTCGATCTGTAGGTCTGACAATTAGGAGTCGTAGCTCTAGGTTTTCTGAAAGGTCAAGGTCGTAGCTGCTACAGTCCCGAAAGGTCAAGGTCGTAGCTGCTACAGTACTCGAAAGGCCAAGTCCACAGACTTCCGGAAGGTCTGGAAGTGGCCTTTTGAAGTTGCCTCACGTTTGGCCAGAGGCAAGTGGGCAAGTGGTGAGCCCAACTGCATTACGTCGGCAGTGCGACTGCATCAAGTTGGCAGTGCGAGCCCATGCAGTCAGCGGTACCGGTCCAGTCAGTCCCAGTCCAGTCAAGCAAGTACCATGAGGGACTGTGTGCACCATAGGCCGGTGTAAAGGGGCAGCCCAACGAGTTACAGAAGTATAAAGCAAGAGGCAGCGCCCAGACATTGATTCATTCGCTGCGGAAGCCATGCGGAAGCGCTGCTACAAGCGTCTTGTGCGAAGGTGGTCTGCAGGTCGCCCGAAGTCGAAGTGGGCTTGAGAGAGACGACGTAGTCATAGCTAGTAGAGGTGAAGCGGCCATAGCCGCTGCAGTGTTAGATGTAAGTGAGTGTATATGAGTGAGCGTGCGCGGGTGTATTCAGGGTGATCCAGAGTTGAGTACGGGTGAAGAGTGGTGTTTGGACACAGTGACAAGAGTTGTGATGTACAGGCGCTGATGCGCCATAGCCTGATAAAGCGAGTTTACATCTGAACTGTGTTATTGGTTGCCATATCTCCGAGCTTTGAGTGGGCGGTGTGCGCCAGTGTGAATCACCATCTGTTCGCATGTATGCAGAGTGGAAAGGAAAGTGAGTCTGATTGCAAGTGCGAGAACTCGCCTGGTCATGGGGGAGACATGGATATGGATGAATGAGCTAGTATACTATTTATCGCAGAGTTGACCTCTACTCAACCTTGCCTACCCTGGGTGCTATCTCGTACCTATCAAAAAAGCCACCAGTCAATTAAAGATTCGATCCCACCCCTTCACAGACTCGACCAGGCAATTTATCCTGTGTTGGTCGTCCCTTCGTGGCATCTGGCCAAGGTCCCTGCTGGCTTTATTGCGATCTTTTGAAATAGATTCTGTAGAACATCTATCTCTATTGCCTCAAGAATATATGTGCTGTACACGGTCAATCGAATACGATGCCCGCTTGATGCCCGCATTCTGACCTTCAGTCCATAAGGACTTGACAAGTGATAATCACAAACTTCGACGCAAAGTGAGCTCTAAGATAAGTTGTATTAATTAGAGTGATGACCATAGGCCTCTTGCACATCATCACCTCTATTCTGCCCGGTCATCTTCCTTTCATCCTTCATCGTTAAGGCTGCATGTGGACTCACATTTGTCTGTCCTTTCTCACAGGTTTCAAGTGCGGACATTGCTTTCTTCATATGATCATCATGTACGCTTCATGGAAGGTTCCCCGATGGAGGAGGCTGACTTGGAGCGAGTCAGTGCCAAGGTGGCTACTGCATTCTATCTTCTTGCTGCCAAGAATACAGAGGTACACGCAAACCCATTTAGCGGAAAGTCTGCCCAGGTGCATGATGGCCGTCACTCGTCAGTATGCCAAAGCTTCATTATTTTGTGTGTGTGACACTGTGTGTGCTTTCCTTGTTTGTTGTCATGCGGTGCCAGCCATCGCGCACACTGTTTTTGCTCTAAACTGCGATTGCCCTTCTCTCTGTTGGGTTGGCCTGCAAGTTTGTTTCGTTGCGCTGCAGTGGGCTGCAAAGCAGTCCCCCATTCTATCATCCCTTTGGTTGGTTTGATAGGGATAGGGATGGAAGTGACTTACCGGTATGTACTATTTACTACTTAGATGATTCGTCAACATTTGGTCACAACGGAGAGTTATGCAGTGATTGCCGATCAGTCGATTGACTTGATTCCAACTAGCAGTCGCTGTCATGCTTCAAAAGTGACCATAGCAATTGTTCGCCGACCGAAGGGTCCCAAATTGCCAATTGGAGTCTCTATATAGAAGCGTTAGCGCCCGATTAACTGAGTTGTGGTCAAGCCAGAGATGTGCGGGGTGCGGTATTCATTCATAGGGATCAGAGAGCTTGAACTTTGGGAAAATAAGATAAACCCAGGTAGCTTCACATTCTCTGAATGTCATTTCTAGGTGTCGAGCCCAAGATAGTGCTTTCAACACTTTGTCAATGTCTAGTAGGGTCAGGTCGCACATACTATGTTCAGAAGTCGCCAATGCATCTGCTGCTCTCACTTGTCTAATCCATTGTGCCACCGACCTGCCACCTCCGCACCTTCAGCAGTCCCACGTACTATGTTCAGAACTCGCCAATGCTTCAATGTCTAGTAGGGTCAGGTCCCACATACTATGTTCAGAACTGGCCAATGCATCTGCTGCTCTCACTTGTCTAATCCACTGTGCCACCGACCTGCCACCTCCGCGCCTTCAGAGGTCCCACGTACTATGTTCAGAACTCGCCAATGCTTCAAAGTCTAGTCGGGTCAGGTCCCACATACTATGTTCAGAACTCGTCAATGCATCTGCTGCTCTCACTTGTCTAATCCGCTGTGCCACCGACCTGCCACCTCTGCGCCTTCAGAGGTCCCACGTACTATGTTCAGAACTCGCCAATGCTTCTGCTGCTCTCACTTGTCTAATCCACTGTGCCACCGACCTGCCACCTCTCCGCCTTCGAAGGGATGCCTTGCTTTTCTTTGAAACGTTCCATATCACAGCCTACTGACTTTGCTGGAGAAGCTGAGTTCGGTGCGAGGTCTTGAAGCAGCCAGAAGAGGTGTTTGAGAACTGGATTGTCTGAGGCGCATCAGTGAGAGGTCAGCAAGGATGGTGGATGGCCCTTAATTTGACAACTGCCTGAGGCAATGTAATTTCTGGACTCTTATAGCCCCACTAATAAAACTGTTTGCCTTCAACTGCTATGTCACTACACTACTGTCTTCACCCGAATAGAACGCCCGACAATTTAAAGCGGTATTTGGTGCAACTTTCAATCTACATACAGGGATAGCGACCGGGCATTCTATTCGGGTGAAAGACGGGTAGTGCTGAGGAGCTCTCCTAGACCTCAGCTGTGCTCATAGAAATTCATCAGGTCATCCTTCAAAACCGGCCAGAATTTTTCCTAAAATCCATTACTCAATCCATCTATGCCCGGGTTTTCTTGTTGTCGCATTCTGCAGTGCAAAAAACAGCTTTTCTCTAGGGATTGGTTTGTCTAGCCCATGGGATACCAGTCTAACGGCTAGGATGGTCTCAGGGTTATGTCTGGAGCAAATCAGCACCAGGACTGATGGAAAATGTTCGAGGAACGTAGACGAAATGTACTGGTTCCAATCTACAACCAGGAATTTTTTTTTGGTACCCAGCATAAGGTCCAGGGATCTAACCCTGTCCACAACCGTAGTAGCGGACGACTTCCCAAAAAGGTAAATACCATGCCATGTAGTAGCGCGTTCTTATTCTTCTACAATTTCTGAAAATTTCCAAGGAGATTGAGGGCCCAATCATTTTGTGAGTAAGTACTGATTTGTCTACTGTTCCAAGGCCCCAGACCCGATGCGGACATCAGTTGCTGGCCCGGCTGTTAGATCCGGTCATCCAGAAAACCGGATGGGTCCGGATGTACCAGTCCGGATGGCTCGATATGTCGCAGGGGGGGAGAGGGGGGGGCGGGGGGAGAGGAATCGGACGGATGGATGGATAGACCCATGGTCGGATGGATGGATGGATGGATGGATGGATGGATGGATGGATGGATAGACCCATGGACGGATGGATGGATGGCCTCGTGCGTTCTCGCAGGGCGAAGTAGTGAGGTCTCGTGCGTGCTTGCAGGGTGAAGTAGTGACGCAGTGCTTTAAATCCAAGGCCTGCATTCTCGTGGCCTCCTTGCAAAATGGCAGCCAAAACGTTTCCCAAGTTTAAAACGGAAATGAAAATTGAAACGTCAAAAAAGGGCCTGTGCAATGAACCCAGTCAGGAGAGAACCTCGTCAATGTCGAAGTACAAGATGTCTCAGCGCATGTCAATGTCTCCAATAATCATGAATGTAATCCAAAGTACAATGTCATCGAGAAGTACAATGTCTCGTAACCAAAGGACGAAGCTGATAGGAGGGAGATAAGACTTATCCATCAATGTCATCGAAGATAGATCTCCCTCATGTCCCACTCCTCCTTCGGGCATCTCCCCTGTGTCCACGTCAGCATACAGTATCCCAAAGACGAGCCTGGCGAGAACCGATCACAACATGGTGCCACGTAGGCACAGATCTCACATGAAGACGTCACAGCAGCGCGCAATGTTGACAGCCATAATCAGGTAAGCTTCTCTCTCTCACACAACCAATCTCACAGCCCTGATCTCCCTCCTCGCCGATACCGCAATCTGAGTCGAAGACAATGTGGCTAGCGCCACGTCAGCAATCAAGATCCCAGCCGGTGCCAAGAACAGAGAGGTGCCAGCAGCGCAATACTGCAGTCTCGCGTCGTCGTCACACACAATGCCAGCGTCGTGCCAGCGTCGTGCCAGCGTTGTGCCAGCGTTGTGCCAGCGTCCAGCAGCAAGTGCAAGACTGAATCCCGATGAGCAGGGGCTGAGTCAATAAGTAGTGTTGACGCAAGTTGACCAGCCTCTGATCTCCCGGATACGACGGCTCAGATTGACTCGCAGTCAATGGCCTGGATCTCAAACAGTTGCAGACTTCCACTTGGACCAGATTCTGCATAGATACCTGCGAACAGCCAAATGTGTGTGTCTGATCGGTGGCCTGGACTAGGTCCGTGCAGACTTTGACTCGTGAGCCTCAATTTCCGAGCTACAGTTGACTGTTGACTTTCTTCAGTCAACTGTCGGGCGCAGGGCCTCTGAAGCCTTATTTCAGGGTCTCGGTTGGGTTCAGTCCAGCGCAGGGCCTCGCTGTGGCCTGTGCGCAACCCCTGGCCGACGACAATAGCATATTTCGAGCGGGTTATTACACCTGTATCCGGAGATGGCCCCCTGTACAGGCCCTGCAATCCTGGCCGGAATCCAGACCAGGTATCTGGACACCGGACTCCGGTCAGTCGGGGGTACAGGTCTGGACAGCTGGATCAATACCACGAGTGTTTCTGAAAACTTCTGAGAAGATGGGTCACGTCCCTTGAGGAAAATTAGGTTGCAGTATGACCAGAACTCGTCACAGTCTGCTATTTCAAGGTGAGCTGCAGCAGTGCATAGCAGCTGAGGTTAGGCCCAGCGGGACTTAGGCTGACGGGCGTTTACAGACAAGTCCTCAATGTGTTACATATTTACCTTCATGTCTTCTGTGACAAATATTGGAGTGAATTTCTAAAAAGAACATCGAAGTCTGAAAATTGCAAGCAAATTGAAGGAAGTCAAAAGAGACAAGAGACTGCACACAATATAAATTTCAAACTTGGATCTTTCGCACTTGAATTGCTTACATATTCGCACAAATGCCAATAACAATTGTACATACAACCTCAGCTGGAGAGCTATGCAGAGTCCCAGCATGGGGCTCACACCTTGGCACTGTGGCAGGCGGAAGGGCCATTGCATGTGTGACCACCACCTGAAGAAGGGGTTGAGACTTCCAAGATGTGAATGTACCATATTTTACCCTCATAAAATACATGGCTTGGCTCTTTGACAGGATTTTGCAGCCGAAGATTCTGCGCAAATGGCCCGTGCCCTCTGTGTCAGTAAGTTCTGTGGCCCTAATGTTAGAGTACTGGTGGAGTTGCGGGATCCTGAAAGCCTGGATAGTCCTTTCTGGAGAGATAACAGCAACATAGAGCTATTGTGTCCTGAGGAATTGCGACTTAAACTACTTGCTCGGAGGTGAGATGCATTGCTCACAAGAAACGCCTCCTTCAGTCTTCTTTTCTTTTTTTCTTTTTTTTTTTCCCCAACAACACAAGCCCCTTCTATTCTGGGGGTGGGGTCAATCCGGTTGCTCATCACCAGCAAGCAGAAAAAAACGTCCTTCGGTCTTGGGATTGGGGTTGTGCAGACTTAGCAAATACGCGTGCAGCGCAGCGCTGGTCTAGGCTGCTGTACTCACATGAGGGACTTAAAAACAACAACAAAAAAAAAGGGTGATGGCCTGAAGATATCAATGTGGGACTGACTCGGCCCAGGTATTCAAAAATTCCATTCATCGAATCCACCTGGGTTTGAAGTTTGAACGCAGGTCTGTATTTCAACAGTTCATGGGTATACCAACTGTGTAGGTCTGTTGGTGACGAACAACTTTTTTGACTGTATCTGGCTGTAATTGCGTCCAGATACCACGGAGTCCTACTTTGAGTATGCGTTTAGTTGTTGTCCATTGTTTAGTATGTTAATGGTTAGACCCACGTCCCTTCGTCACCTTTTTTTTTTTTTCCCATCACCTGTTTTCTGTGAGCAAAACGTGGAAACGAGAAAAATTGACGCCTGTGTTGAGGACACTGTGAAACCTAAAACTGATCCACTGAGGACAATTCCTATAAATCATAGGTGGCAGAGGAGAGGATCTTTCTGGGTATTTTTTTTTCTATACATATTTGACGATATATATATAGTATATACTCCTTAAAAAGGCAAACCGGGTCTCGCATGACTGGCCCACGCAAGACCCGCCAGACACTTGGGGCAAACCGGCGTGGGCTGATTTTGGTCCCACGCATGCTCTCTCTCTATTTTTCCTTTTACGGGAGTTGCACAGGTGTTGTCTTTTTGTGGGGGCAGTTGTTGATTCACGCGTCAGTTCGTGCATCAATCCCTTTTTGGGTCCTGACCAGGGTAGGGCAACCCCTGCTTCTTTTCCTGATTTTTTTTTATTTTATTTTTTTGGGCATGCCCATTCTTCATTTCACGCTGTTCATTACCTCATTAGATTGGTGGAGACGCCATCCCCCAACCCATCTTTCCCTCGCTTCCTCTTTGGCGTCGTTCGCAAGACTTCCTCTTTGGGACCTTCCTCCCTGCTTCTCAACGACCTCTGCCATGCCACACCGCTTCCCGTGATGTGCTTTCCCGCTTCCTGTGATATGTCGGCTTCATTTCCGCTACCTGCTTTTTTCCCTCCTTTCCCAATTCCCATGTCCTTTGCCACCATCTGCAACCACCTTTCCTCCGCTGAACAGAGTCCAGCTACTTTGAGATATCTGCCTTCATGTTAGGGGAGTGGAGAGCAAAGGCCGGGGAGAGGCAGGGTGTACCGATCTGGGTGGCTAGAGTCCGAGAGGTGAGTAGCGCCATTTGCCGTACTTTGTCTGGATTCCGACTGGATCTTAATTGGTATCAAGAGAGGGGTGAGAGAGAGAGAGAGAGAGAGAGAGAGAGAGAGAGAGAGAGAGAGAGAGAGAGAGAGAGAGAGAGAGAGAGAGAGAGAGACAGAGAGAGAGACCATGGTAGGTAATGCAGAACAGTGATCCGGACAAGAGGACTATGGCGAGGGGGCAGGGGGAAACAGAGGTGATCATAGACGACAGCAGAGGAGGAGGAAGTCATTGAGGAGGAGGGGGATGGGGGAGGGGGATGGAGAGGAGGTGGCAGAGGACGAGGCAGAGCGGGAGGAGGAGAGCATGGAGCGGGAGGAGGAGAGCATGGAGCAGGGGGGGGGAGGAGGAGGAGGAGGTGGTGGAGGAAGACAGGGAGGAGAAGGTGTGTGCTGTGGGCGAAGTGGCGGTGGACAGCCGCTTGTACAAATATATAAAACTTTAAATATCATAACCTCCGCTATCCTTTCTTGGCTATCCCTTTCCTCGCTAGAGTCCTCTGATGTGTTTACATTTTGAAATCGTATTCTTAAGTGTAGTGAACGTTGTGAGGAAGTCTTGAAGTATGCGAGAGCAATTAGAACTTAGAAGTTGATATTGTTATTTTTATTTGTTGAAGCCTTAAGGGGGGTTCCATCATGATTCACGATCTATATTCACTAACAAGACAATGTGTGCAGTGTGCACCATTCAGCCATATGGGCCAGGTATTTACTGTTGATGCTTTGAAATTAACGTCAAACCTGCAAATTTGCAAACTTTTTTTTTTTCTTTTTTTTTTGGACCATTTCTTGATCTATTTGTGTCATCTTTGCGAAGGGGCTTGTGCAGGCGCCATGCTAATCTTCTCTTCTTTGTGCATGGGTCCTGGGGACCATCTCACGCAAGTGTGTACATGCCATGCATCGTACTCCCACACACAATGAACAGTAGTCTGACAATAGACAAAGATAGAGAAGATGAGGACCGAGTTTCACAGTTTATATTATCAGAAATATGAATACAAAGTGTTTCAAAGTTCCCCTGAGTCCAGCGCTCATCAGCGCAACACCAATATCTTGCCAACTCATCAATATGCCTTCCAGTGAATCAGTGCTACCCTTGCAGATRGTCTCCAAATCATCAACGTGGTCACTACTCAYCAGCGCCACCTCTGSAGGTCACAACCAACTCAGGTAAGTACCTTCCATAGCCAAACCTTGAATGAACACTCTCAGCCTCAATCCCTTCCTCCTATGATGCATACACACACTTCAATACTC